TCCCAAATTCTGCAAGCTGGGAGTGTCCGCAACAGCAGCACACACTTTGATAAGCCATACTATACACAAAGAGCTAAATGCTGTCTAAACAGTCATAAATCACTTCACAAGAAATGGTTCAACCACTATGTCATCTTATCTAGTCTAAAACCTTTTGCATTTAAAGAAAATAATATTTACAGAAATTACCTCCCTTCTCAACAAACACATGATTACTGAGAAGCGATGCTCAGTTTTCCCCATTACGACCACTCTGTGTAATTCACAGGACAAATGACAACACGTTGGTGACTTTCATGCTGTTTGGGCTCAGCTTATCCAAGGAAAATGACTTGGTCCTGCAATGCTGGTCAAGTACACACCTTGAAATCTATTCCAGGTTAAGATTCAACCACAAGCTTCTGGCCTATGCACAGAAAATACAGCATGAAATCTTATGGTATGTGTCATTCAGGAGGTCAAAAGGGATTATCACAATGTTCCTTTTTAGCGGTGGTACCTACGAGCCTTGGCATATAAGCCACCCTGGAAAGCCATTCTCAGACAACTGCTTTAAATTGGACTCTGAGCAGTCCTTGAACTCTACTTCAGGAGAAAGCAGCATTGTCAAGATAACAGTTTTACAGCTTTCAGTCCTCCCAGGAAAAATAGTGCTTGCTTTGTGTACTTGCCCTGTTGCACACACTGAGCAGACGTCTTCTATCCAACCCTCACCGCTCTCTGCGAGCCATTCCACAAACATGCTGGAGCTGAAGAAGCAGTAGTCTGTCCTACAGCCTGAAAATTCAAATAAGTAAAATAGTTCTCCTGAAATAAAAACCCCAGCTTTGATGTCATTGGGATAACCTGGAAGGAGCATGCATTCCCCAGCCATGAAGATATTTTCCACAGCAAATCCACCTTGGATAAAGTAAGCCAAATTTTCCTACTGCTTCATTCACTCAGCACTGCGAATAGCAGTGGGTCAAGAGTAGATCAAATCACAGAATGTATTTTTCTGTCACCCAATGTATAATTTGGGGGTTGCAGTACGGGAGCTGCATGATGCATTGACACACCTGAGGGACAGGATGCCATTCAGAGGTATCTGGACAAGATCAAGAAGTGGGAATCTTGTGAGATTCAGCAAGGCCAGCAGCTGCAAGGTATTGCTCCTAAATTGGGGAATGAAGAGATTAGAGGGATGGAACACCTCTCCCGTGAGGAAAGGCTGAGAGTTGGGGTTGTTCAGCCTGGAGCAGACTCTGTGGGGACCCCACTGTGGTCTTTCACTATTGAAGGGAGTCTATAGGAAAGATGGGGATAGATTTTTTTTAGCAGGGTCTGTTGCAATAGAATCAGGGACAGTGGTTTGAAACTAAAAGAGGGTCAGTGTAGATTAGATACAAGGAAGATTTTTACCATGTGGATGGTATAACACTGGAACAGGTTTCCCAGAGAGGTGGTGGATGCCCCATTCCTAGAAACATTCAAGGACAGGTTGGACTGTGCTCTGAACATGATCTAGTTGAAGACATCCCTGGTCATCGCAAGATTGATGGAGTAGATGATTTTTAAAGGTCCCTTCCAATCCAAACAATTCTGTAATTCTACAGTCTGGTTAACACAGAAGATAAAGCTACCACAGCTTTACATCTAACCACTTACCAGCGGTGCTGAACCATCTGAGGTCACATAGCAAGGCTCAGGTGATGACAAATCATTACAAGACTCAGTAACTTTGTTATCTGCAGGAACCTGTCCCTAGTGCCCACCGGAGCACCACCTACAACACAATTTCTCATTTCTAAGGTGTAATGTTAGGGGAGTCACTTAGTCACCTTCACACTGTCTCTGCAATTTATCTTGGTTTGTTTCAAAAAAAAACAGAAGCAATTGCATGATCCCTCTGAAGTGTCCTGGTATTGCTGGGATAGCACTCACTCAACATAGCCAGATGCCTTTCTGCACCAGACCAGCCAGCTCAGCCAACTGTACATCCACCGGCTGTTCCAGCACTTTACTCTTTGGGGGGTTGCACATGTTCAGAGAGGAAAGAAACTGTGTTCAGCATCTCCCTTGCACGTCAGAGAAAGCAGTAGCTGCAGAGCTGTGCACGCCAAACACAGGATGTGGCTTCTCCTTCACCACAGTGAACATCACTCTCTTCAACCAAGTCATTACTCTGGTCCTTGGAGAAGTTGTTCACGTGTATATCCACATCCTTGGCCCACAGGTATGTCTGCTGACATAGCCAAGGACAGCTCAACACCTCTGACAGCAGGGCTAGATATGACTTCAAGGAGCTTCTGGCCATCTCCATCACCCAAAACAAACATCAGGATGTGCTGGAAGAAGCACAGTACATTGAACAAAACTCAGGAAAAACCCTGAGTCCCTGTCCTAGTTTCAGGACTTGTTTGCTGCATTTCTCTCTGGTACATCTAATACAATCTGTGCCTTTGAATTTAAGTATCATCTCTTATCTTTTAGCCCACCTATACAGCTTGGGGGAAGGGATTTGTGAAGCACTGAAGCACCAGATCATTAATCACTAGCACTTCTTCAGAAACACTGTTCAACAAGGGACTGGGAAAGACTCAAGATTTTTTTAATCTCACTTCCATAGTAAAGGAGAGCATTGAAGCAAAATAATGTTATTCCCTTTTTTTTAATCTTCCTTTAATTTCACAGGAATACTGTTTTAGAGGTAGCTAGTAACATCGAGGAATGAGTACCTGCCAAGTAACGGTGCCTTGGGACTAGGTGATCTTTTAGGTCCCTTCCAACTCAAACCTTTCTATAGGATTACATGATTGCTCTCTTATGTAGCTTGAGTATCTGCCAGAATTTGGTTACAGCAATTTCATACAGATATGGGCACATTTGCATCTGTTTCTTCCCTTTTGTGCCACTCTAGATAGAAACCTGCATTGAACATGAGCTAGAAATTAATTGCCCATGGAGAAATCACAGAGTAGCAAAGCACGGTAGACCTGCACAGTGGCTTTTGATATTCACTGAGCCTAGAGCACATTTGGGATGGCAAATAAATTTCACTGATCTTGGGTTCTCCATGCCAGTACAGAAGACAGCAACTCCAACAACTCCTGACCATTAACAGAGAAGGCAGAGGGTGATGGTTAAATCTATCTTTGCTGTTACACCTAATGCAGCCCCATGTATCGAGAACTAACGTACTGTTTGCTTGCTCAAGGCTGACCAACCAGTTAGGAAGACATATGGCAACACTAGATGAGCCCTTTCTATCTTCACCTTGGTGAAAAAGATCAAGTTACACACATTGGAGATAACCACAAAGGACAGTGAAGAGAAAATAGCAAATTCCATAATATTATAATGAAGGAACATAGCCCAAGTTGCAATATAGGTCATCTCCATACTGTGAGTTTGAAAAACAGCTCCTTTAAAAAATGTATTAAAGAAAGGAGGGGGAAGGAGGAGGCTCTGTACAGCAGAGAGACCCTTGTACCCAGACAAATTCAGTCACCCTACTTTAAATCTGCAGGCCAGCTCCTGATTTAACCTGGAGTTTCACATGTCACTACAAAACTCTGGAAATGTTGCCTTTGCAGATATGCCAAACATATGAACTGTTTTCAGTGAAGTCAGTATTTTTCCACATCTACTATTGTAATTCTTCTGGCAGGCTGGGAGTAGCAAATCCTCCCTTATCTCCCTCCTCTCCAAGAGCATCTCTCTGTTTAAGTACCAGCTAACTTAGATCATACACGATCCCCCATGGAAAGTGGACAAGAAGGGGGGTGTAAGCAACAAAACACAGAAGGAGGTGGACTGTCATGCACAAGGAAAGTAGCAGGGAGAAAGAGGTGACTAATGAACAGAAGGGGGTGCGTAAAATCCTGCTTGGATTGATTCTCTGGAGAACAGCTGTTTCCTTGTAAACATCTTGCTAGCTGTCCAAACAAGAAGTTCAGACAGAGAACAATAAAGGAGAGCACCCGGGTAGAAGCACTGAAGACATGGGCTCATTCACTACCCTGCCAATTGCTCCAAGTGCAGAATTCAAAAGCCAGGGAAACATTAGCTATACATTTAACCCTGCATGTGCTGTGCAACAGCCTGCAGAAACACCCGTCTCTATCTGTGAATTCCTTCCTAGCCCTCCTTTTCCCCCACTATTTCTGACACAACAGCAGAGCATATTTCTTGACAAAGGAAAAGAGGAAATATCCTCATCAGAGCGAGGAGAAACAGCCACAGAGCCAAGAAATGAAAACACTGAACGTGGCAGCCCAGCAGGCCTAGAAAAGTTCTACCACTACCCTGGCATCAGTAACTTGGAAGTTGAGGGAGTTACACCAGAAAAAGTAAAAATAGTCTTTTTATTAGTCCTCAGCACAAAACAGGCTACACTGGCAGAAGCATTTATATGCCAATACAACTGTGTCCACACAGGACACTTGCCAGCACTGCAAGGTAGCTGTGGGGAAGGGAAGGAATACCAACACAACCATGCCAGTAAACATTTCTAAGGCAGGCTGCTCACAGAGGACAGCTACCTGCACTGCATAACAGCAAGCAGAGATGTGCACTACCTTTGTCTGCTCCGTGATGTTTAACAGGATCAAACACATACATGCCCAGTCACAAACCTGTCCCATAAACCCTGTCCCCAAAATGCCACACAGCTGTTACAAGAGTACAATAAGATCACATGCATTTCTCCAGGAAAGGAGGGGTCACTGCAAGGAAGGCAACAGGACAGGAGAACACAGCAAGTGACAATAAGTGAACCCTACATCCTGAGGCTATAGTCCAATTCTCTACACTTTCGTGTCCACCTTTGGCTAACCTATCTTGACTTTTACACATTCTAGTCAATACAAACTGTATGTATCCTAGGAAATTAAATACCCTATTTCTACTCAAAACCATCCAGTATCACAAAAAAGATAAGCACAATGACACTCTCATAGTCAGAAATGACAACAAGGAATTCCACATTTTAGAAATAGTCCACATGTTCACAGAAAAGACCTGGTGCAGTCAGATTTATTTCACCTTTTTATTTCCTCAGGCCCATTTTGCTGTAGTCATGCACAAACAGCCAGAAAAAAGACACATTAGCAAGGGCTGCTCAAGAATAAACATTCGATCATTACGAGAAGAGTGCACGTTGCGCTAATCAAAATCCCTCTGAGCCTAAAGGAAGGCAGCTGGCTTGTTGCATCAAAGTCCAAACCAATCAGGGACTCCACCTCGTCTGGGGTCACCTTCCTGCTTCTGCTTCTCTTTCTCCATATATTTATCCCTGAAGTCATCAAAAGAGCGAGTTTCTGCGTCTTGTTCTTTCTCTGGAAATAGGTTGGGAAACTGAAAGGTTTGTCCTTGGCCCTAAAGAGAAAACAAATCGTCAGAGAGACATTCCAGCCTTTCTGCAGTAGCTATGATCTTTGGGTGGAAGACCACCCTGAATTTTCAGCTAGTGCAGAATGGTACCTCGTGACATCCCAAAATCTCTTTCCACCCATGTCCCCAAGATACATGTACATCCCTTCTCCTCAAAAGCTAACTTTAAGCCTCTCCTCCTCTGTGTGCTACTGAAGATACTGACTTTTTTTCTTTTTTTTTTAACATATGAATGATCAGGAGATGGACACCTCTTCAAAGACTTTGAATTAGTTAAGAAATGTTGTGTGAGTCATACAGTAAAAACAAGATGAGCAAAATAAGTGATTTTATTAAAGTAACACCACCAGGGAAATACACAGAGGAGCAGGCATTCATTATGTTAACACTCAGGATATGAGTAGTGGTTGTAGTTGTTTAGATCTCAGCTAAGGGTAAGAGAGAGCAGTGCTAGCAGCTGTTATTGTAGGGTGCAATGTGGGAATACAGAATAACAGATATCAGAGGTCTCTTATCAACAGACATAAAGACTATGGTGTAAAACAATTACAGTGGGAACAATCTGTCTAATATATCACTAATGAGATTAAAGTGATTACATCTGCATCAGTCATTCTGCCTAGCAGATAAGTCATTTTAGTGAAACATCATCATCAGATCTATGTCTCCCACTTGGAAAAGAAACATTTGCTTGGTCTCTGGTTTTTATCTAACAGCAGGAAAACATTCTTTTGTGGAAATATACTATTATTAATATTACCTACTTATTTTTAGTGGTGTTTGCTCTAGGCACAACTTCATTAAACTCAACAACATCAGCCCTCCCATTCTGTATGGGATCTTGCATAATAAAACTTGCAACTGGTCACCCATAACCCTAAAATGATTCTCCAAAACACTTACAAACATTACCATACATTAACTTCTTTGGCAGCATTTTGCATATAGAAATCTCAAGAAAAGCATGTAACTGTTTCAGATGGAAACAGGTGGGTTTGGCTTTTTTTCAGATCAGCCAGTCCTTTAATTTATGCAGTAAATATAACCAAACAAGAGGCTCAGTTATGAAATAGTTCCACAAAGGATATGAAAGGAGCCTTCCCCAGCATACCTACTCTGTATTTTGGGATCAGAAATAAGACATAAATAAAACCAACAGAAGCATCACCACGTCCCTGACCCAGCTGAATGTCTACTATGTTTAATTTAATCATACACACTCAACCTGGCAAATGACAGGTGTGAAAAAAATCTAAACCTCATATGCTTTGGAGAGAAAAAAAGCATGACTTATCCCAGATGAGATTATCCAGACAGGAATCTACAAAATACCAACTCTACCCAGCAGTGCTCCCGTTGTTTTTGTAGCGCATACTTCTTGGGGGTTTCCTAAGAGTCTGACCATACTACAAAAACAACAAGGGAGCTGCTGTGTACATTGCTTTTTCCTTGATTCTAGCCTGGATAAGCTCAACTGGAACATATCAAGGTTTTCCTTTCCATTGGCGTACACTCTGGGGTTTCAGCTCTTTTGTACCTTTAAATTAGCAACAGGTATGCTCATAATAGCTGTCCTTTGACAGCTATAGCACAGTCCCATTTCATGGCACAGAAACTGGCCTTACCAGGGTCCTTGAGCAAGCCCAAAGCTGCAGCCTACTGATCCCCTTCCTATAGCAGGATCAGCAACAAGCACCCTTGAGGCCAAGCACTGCTCAGGATTTTAGCACACTGAAGCATTTGGAGAGAAATCTGCTAACACAAAAAACTGCTGTGTTTTAACTGCGCTGTGGGCAGGTCACTCAGCCCTGCGGTACCTACAGAACAGACAGGGCCCATACTAAAGACCTGACTGCCCTGGAGAGGAAGCCATTTTAGTTAAACAAGTCAGAAAACAACTCAGGCTAACATGGTAGGCACACCACCTCCACTGAAAATCTGAGAACTATTTATATTGGTAACAGTGTAGTAAGGGACTGCTCTTGTTATGCAGCACTTTCCTTCTGGTATGCTTCCAGGACCAATGCATTTTCCTTATTGGAGAATGAAGGAAAGCATACTAACAACATCCACGGTAATTCACTAAGCATTGCAAAACAGTTATTATTTTAAAAAGAGGGAAGAAAACAAAAAAGATACACAAAGAGGCTGTAGCAAAACCAGACAAACCTTTAAGCTGTTTATCAAAGTGCTCACAGTTCCCATTTCAAGGCTGGTGGAAGTCAAATATTGAGCTGAAAATGTCAATCTGTATCTGAAGTCTTTTAATAAATCAAAATCAGCACAGACAAGTTGGCTCTTTACAGCTCTTGTTTTGTGAAGAAATTCTGATTTTGGCTGGCAGCCAAACACGATTTGAAACAGCCAAGACATTACACCCTGAGAACTGAAGGTTGATAAATCTTAAGTAACAATACTCTGCAGTAATACTGCACTGTTAAGGCTCTGGAGTGATGAAAGCCGTATGAAAAATAGCTGTTGTGCATGCTCAGTAGCTAGTTTTCAGAAGAAGCCTGTGTCTTGGGTATTTCAAAATTTCAAAAATACCAAAAAGCATCAACTTACATAAAGGATTGTGAGTCTGTCCAGGCTTATTTACACTCAGTGCATCTTCCACATAATGCCAGAGGCTACTGAGGTTCAAGCTCATATGCCACCTCCTTAAAAAAAAGCCTACCAAAGGAACAGAAGGATTGTCACCCCTTTACACAGTGCTGCTTTTTCTTAAACTTTTTCTTTGCAGAAGTTTTTCCTTCTATACAGCAACCATCTGACAAACATATGATAAATGCATCCTCAGAACGAAATCCTTACTGGAATAAAGCAAACAATGTTTACCAAGTTCATCAGGGTTTATCTGGTTTACAAACTGCTAGAACATGAAGTGCTGGCATATTCAACCGGAAAGGAAGTTTCAGGCTTACTTGAAAACCTTGCTTTTGTTCACAGTTTTACCTTTTGCAAGATATTTATCCCTTTAATTGCTGAGTTATGGAAATTCTCATAAGCTGAAGTAACCTCTATAAAGGCTAGAACCTGCTTCTGCTTTAGAACATCTGCCAGCATAATTACTTTAGTTAGAAGCACAGAGAAAGGGGGAGAAGATAACACCACCTTTCTACTCAACACAGCTGTGCTAAAAGAAAGTCCTGTAAAAAAGACAGACACTGGAAAAAAAGTAATTTTGCTTGGATAATGCAGTCTGTCATAGAACTGGATGGTACACTGACAGCAGAAGATCTTTTTCACCAATGTGAAGTGATCCCCTGATACTATGGAATTTGTCAGGGTAAGCTCTACCACCATGTGTTCACCTCACTCTCAAGCTAAGCCTTACAATACTAATAAAAAAATGAACAAAAAGCCCCAAACAAAGCAAGTCAGAGAGGTGGCATCGAACACCTAAAATAGTAAAAGCAACATGATGATTTTACACATTGTTGTTCTCAGTTTGGCGTCTTCCTAGACACTTTCCTTTTTCCCCACTAAGGTTATTCACAAATGAGATGTGTGGTCCAGTGTTCAGAAAACAGAAATGGGACCCATTAAACTTCTACACTTGCACAACTCTAATCTTCAACTCAACATTACCCGAAAGTAAAAGTGAATTGTATACAAGGCCTTATGAGGATTCTTTTGTTAAATGCTTTAACATCATTCATGTTAAAAAGTGACCTAAGCATCAAACATTTATTTTCCCTTTAGATTTCAAGCCTTTGTCCAAAGAAAGGGTGAAAACACATGTTGTTCTTGGAGTCTGTTTAAAGAGTTATCACAGGAGTGGTACAAATTGCCTCCATTCATTTTAATGAGAGGTTAAGTGACCATAATTAGGCCTATGAAGTCAAGTGCTGGCCTTTCCACTGCTGAGCTTCACGTCAGAAAACTGCTGGAAGGATTATCCAGCACAAACTCACACTTCTCTGACCTTTGAGTCCCCTGAAAAGTTTTGAAATGGAGTATCTGCAGATATTACTGTGCAGCAATGATGCAGCAAACACTGATCATGTAAACAACCGTGAGATCTTCTGGTTATTTGGATAATTGAAGCACTTACTACTGTCCTTCAGAATTAACAGAAAAGTGATGTTTATCGTATCATTAACTACAAAAATGTTGGACTCCCAAAAGCACGGGATTCAGTCCAGCAGTAGCAGCAAATGCAGCTAAGTTTAATAATCCAGTGCATTTGAACAATTCTACTACTGCAGTGGTAACATTTGATGCTAAAACATATGGCAAAACAGCACAGAAAGCAACTTCAAAAATCCACTCAGGAACAACACTGCATATGGATCATCCATGTTTCCTCTGAATTCAAAATAAAACTGCTGTCACATCTAATGTGCAAATAGGTTAATTACTGTGAATATACAGGACACCCTAAATGGGGGTTGAGGAGAAAGCATTTGCAAAATGTTCCCACCGGTGCCATCATTCAAGCAGCTAAATAGGTGTTAGTCCTAACACTGACAAGGTCAGACTCCTTTTTACAGCCATCTCCACTAGATTTCTCAAAACAGGTTTAATTAAAAATAGGTCTGGATTCCAGAGACTTGTCTACAGTTGTGCTCCCACAGGTACTAACACCTGTTAAGCTAAACCAGTGAGAACACTGAAGGAGGAGAAGGAGGAGATGTTGTTTTTTTTTAATTTCCCTGATGTTAATGCAACCGCAAAGTTTCCCACTGGCTTTTCTTCTTTTTTTCTTTTCATTATAATAATTATAGCTGTATTGGAGTAAGGAGAAAAGCTGCTGTATTACATTTATTTTATCTAGTTTGCAAAGATATAAAACTTGGGTTTAATTTAAAAAAAATAGAACAGTGTAGAAAAGTAGCATTTGATACATAGGGCCATAAGTCTCCAACTTAAACCTTTCTCACCACATTCCAAAAGGGGAAAAAAGGCAAGCAGGCTCTGGAATGGCAAGATATTGTTGATCCACAGCCTTCTATGATTTGAGGTATTTTTTTAGTGTGAAAATATTATGCTTGGACAGATCATGTATTTGTCCAGTTACTGCCTGAGAATAAAGTAAACAGCTCTGAGTCTCCAAGAAATAGTATTTGGAAAAGAAAGGACAACAATTCTTACATGTGAAACAGCTGGGGCACTAGTCTGACACCTAAGGGCATGTTGACTATGACTTCATACACCTTCCACCTTTGAGACACTTGCAGTAAGTCAATGGATGTGTGTGTTGCACTGGGACACATAAGGTGATGCTTTATGAAGCAGGGAAACATAACTGCTCATGAGAATAAACTCAATTTCATTCAAGTAAACTGCACCACAACTGCGAAGTGACAGTGGAAAGAGCAATACTTCCACCTAGTGGGCAACAGAAAGATCAACCCAAGACCTTCCAAAAACACATCGTATTTTTCCAGTCATAAGCAGTTTTAACTTGAAATTGGATTAATGAGAGAAAACACAGCTGGTAAAAATGGTGGGAAAGCCCGGCTACTCTGACTCACGGCAGATGCAAACTAATTCTCATGAAAATAAGGATTTTACAGTGGTTACCAAAGACTTTCCTAAATTAGGCAGATATTAACAATGGACTGCATGGGGCCTGTAATAGCCTGATCACACCATGAATGAGAACGAAGGCAAACCCTTTAGATTCAGAAATGACACTGGGTTTCTGGTTTCACCCACTGTTTCAAGCTGGTGTGAACACAGAGCTGGGAGCTCATTGTCTGAGACATCAGAGCTAGTGATGAAAAGCAACAAACAAAAGTAAAAAGAGAAAGGGGGCAGAATAAAGAAACCTAAATATTTATGGAATTAACAGACCACAACAATAGGAAAAAAATAGAGACCAGGAATGAGGTGAGGAAAAAACACAGAGACCAAACTTCACTGGCGAGAGTTTAGCAAACAGTCAGGATTCCCTCCCTTGACATGAAAAACACCACCAAAAAAGTGGTCCCCTGACCCTGTTCATGGAAGAGATGGAAAACATGGCATTCCTTAAGAACTTAGTATGGTAACTGCAGTGTAAGGCAATAAGGGACTCTTGCTGACCCATGTACCAAGAGACATGAGCCACAGGGCAACAGGGCCCCATGCACTGCCCAGAAGACAAAGTGGGAGGCTGAAGGAACAACCAGACTACTGCTGTGCATCTGCCTCCAATACCAAGCTAGTTTAGGTAAATCCCCACACCTGGGCTGACCAACCCTTAAGGTTATGGCAACTATTCTACGTTGAGAGGCTGAATGTGAAATAAATGCACAAAGGTACTGTCTTAAGAATCTTGCTCCAACAGAGCAGCAGCATTCTGCTTCCCATGCCTTCCCCCCCGAGTATGCACGGGTTGCTGACTACCTCCTTTTCACCTCAGCAGACACAGAACACAAGACTGCATTACAGTGAAATAAAGTTTGAGAACTGACCGCAGTTCATTAGAAACACTGCTTCAGTCTTGGGAAACAAGTTTCTAAAAGCAAGGAAGTCACTAGCAGGAGGCTGTGGCAATGGAAAGTGCCTGCAACTACCTAATAAAAGGTACAACACTCAAAGAAAGCAACTTGTGAGATACAACATCATCAGTCCAATCATTCGCTTCTTAATTGTACAGTCCTGCTCTCCAGCAAACAAAAACCTAGCAGAAACAATCCAGGAGGGAGAATTTGCTCACCAAAGCAGAGACTCCTTGGAAAAGGAATGTGCGTTTTAGCCATTGTACTGTAAAATCCTCAGAGAGATGATGTTGCCTTTTATATCAGTAGAGTAAATCAAAGTTACTCCTCATCTAAATACAGTTCTGTTACTTTTTAGTAATACTTCACTCTATACTATTCTTTTAATTAGATAAGGGCTGTCTAGAAAATCACTCCGTCCTCACTTTTCTTTCTTCTCCCCTTCCCAGAAGGGGAAAAAACTTCTAAGCACATTTAAACTTTGAAATATTAAAATTCAGATTTTCCATTGTTTGTGCCTCCTAAGTTTGACCCCAAATCCATATGAAGTCTTAGCCAGTCTTTAAGATCACAGAGTGCTCTCCCAATACTGAGTCTTTGTCTCAAGACAGAGTAACAGTGACGTTGTGTTGCCAACTGCAATTTTGAGCTTATGGTTTTACAACCATAAATACCATCCCTTTAATGTCATTTTGGAATGTGAAGGGGTTTTCTGTAACTGGTTGCATTTCTTTTTTGCATAAAGACAGGTAAGCCCAACAGAAGTTTAAACTATAATATGGTCCTGTTATGAAAGAAATTTACAAGAACATGAAGCTCCTTTTCCACTGGGCAACCAATGTATGTTTCAGAGCCTGGTTCAGCCACAAAGCATGCTTGTTTAGACGTGACTAAAGGCTCTCCAAGGAATAAGCCTTAGTCTTCTCTGAAATTCAAAGACCTTTAATAAGAAGTTCCCTACCCTCACAATATATTCTTTCACTTACTGGACATTTCAGCCATCAACCACACAAGTCGTGAACCTTCCAGCACACAGAGTACAGGGTCAGCATGAAACTCTCTGGCAAAGGAGCACCCTATGACATCAGCCCACAACCTACAGACGGACCTCAAACCAACACGGGACTTTAAAAATAACCATTTGTTTGAATTTGATCTTTAGACCAAGTCATTTAAATCTCTTTACATTCTGGAATGTGTTAAAGAAACTGTCACTATTAGAGGATTGGAAGAAATATTCAGCCAACTAGGCCAACTCACTGGCCGTAACTTTCAGCTTGGCTAACAGTTAGGCTGGTTAACAGTGCCTCCCTCTTTCCTCACAAGCATCCATGTTAACTCACCAGCTGTACATAGGCAACCTTGTAATCTGGCTTCTTCACCCTCTGATTCCTGTGATTCCTCTTGTTGTTTGCACCTGCAGAAATGAAGAGAATCCTGCCTTTTACTTCCCAGGACTTCTGAGTTCTCCAAAGCAAGACCAAGCTGAAGGAGGGACTTGGCTATCTCTGATTTAAGAGGAATACTCTTTCTTCACTCCCAGCACAGCACCACAATTATTAAAGTGTCCTGAAACTGGTAGACACTACTCTCCTCATTTACAAGCAGGGAACCAAGGCATCAGCAGCCTGCTGCCATTGTGCCTTCACACACAAAGTCTGCAAAGAAGCAAGAAGAAAAGACTCCAAAATAGGGGTCAGAGCAACATCCACAGCTTCAGGAAGACAAGGAAAAAATGACCATTAAACAACCTTAAAATTGACAATTTTTACTATTCAGGTGATGAGCTGAATCTACTGTTTATATACCAGGGTATTGTATTCCACATCCAAACAAACTAATGCACCTCAACCTTCTCCAACCATGCTGGTCACAACTGAAGTGGGAAGTACAATTTAACCCCTTTATATTAGGCAGACATTAAAGCTCTTGGATTATTAGGCATTCTAACCCTCTTTTATCCCTGACTATAAACCACCTAAAATTAGCAGTGAGGGACAAAGTGGTTGTAAGGACAAGCATGACTATTTTTCAGTGCTGTTTGGAAATATGGGTGCTTGGTATTTATGACTTAATTTAATTCTGGTTTTCAGATAAGCATACTATAGATGATACTTCTGGGTTTTTTCTTCCTCTGTAAGTTAAGAATTTTACAACTTTATTTTGAATCTTTTTCTTTTATCCTCCATTTTTCACTACTACAGGCCTTTTTCTTATTCCTTTTAAAATCATCCTTAATCTTACTATTATAAACAGACAATTCCTTTCATAGAGTCACTACATGAAAAATTAAAAACCCAGCCATCAAAGATGTCCTAACCAAGAAGTCACTCTCTCTCCACTCCATAATTACACTACCTGGTAATCAAAAATGTAAATTAACATGACAAAAAAAGAAAAATATTCCTGTACATCCAAACTGCAGTCAGAAAAGGTCTGGGGAAGGAAGCATTCATATGTAGAAGTGACATTATCTAAATCTATCTTATTTCAGTTAGAGATGAGTCCCTCCACCTCCATGTCAGAGTTCAGCATAAGTTAAACTAGGAATATCTTTTGTTTTTCTATTGGGTCAGGTTTTTTTGTGGGGTTTTTGGTGGGCATTTGGGTTGTTGTTTCTAGAGGTTGGACAGGAGAGAAATACCACAACTGGAAACAATCAAGTCTGTAGCAGAAATCTGGTAACAACAGGTGATAAAAATCTGAAAGTTTGTGAAGATATTTTTCTGACATTATCTACTGGTTTAACAGAGTCTTTTTATTTGCTCTACAAACTTTGCCTTTTTTATGCCATAACACCTCCTGTGTGTGCATGCAAACTCAGCTCATTTTTTAAATGAAGGCTACAGCTGAATTTAAGCTTAATTACTATTTGTATTAAAAAACACGAAGCAGTTCCTTCTGAAGGGAGATACCCCCTGGTCTTCAAGGACAAACAGTACCAACTACAAAAGCACAAGCTAGATAACTCTAAGGATGATTAGCCTTTTTAAATTCAGATTTTTCTTTTTAGAGTGAAACCTACATCATCATTTAATCACAGTATGCAAATGTGAAGTGGTGCATGTTCATTTGAAGGGATGAATAAACAACAATGCTAACAGACATCACCAGCTAAGCACCTGGAACCAAAGTCTGCTGAAATCCAACAGTCCTTTTGAAAGGTAAAAGTCTACTCTGGCTGCGCAGAGATGCTTTATTCATGCTTTTGCATTACTCAGCTGCACTTACCATACTGTATCCTGGTCCTCACAGCAGCTACTGGGACATTGTATATTCTTTCAAGGTAATTCCTGATATCCAATTTTGTCATTCTAGGCATTGAAAAAACATTTTGGGGAAAGAAAGAAAAGTGTAGATATTTAAACAAAATAAATTAGAGACTGGTTGATACTGCAGAATAAATATGTCTTCTTGTTTTAACCAAGACAGATTTACAACATGAAAGTGTAAACTCAACCTAGACCACACACTGCAACAGCAATTTATAATCCATAAACTGTTACAACGTCAAATACTTTATCCTCTGTAGCCTCATCGTTCAAAATGCCAGCTATATTCTGTGTTCAGCAGGCTTTCTCACTGCCCAACCTGAGACACCTTTCTTTATTCTGAGTAGGGGCTGCTGATCTTACCACAACCTGACACAGTGTTACGGGCTCTAATGTGTGCCAGCAAACTGGTCAGGCTGAAAGAATCCTGACAAAAAAGGATACCACCTTGCTTACTCTCGTTCAAATTCAATAAACACGTCCTTCTTCCCAAGCCTGTCCCTGGGAAGGCTGAGCCTCACTAACACTCGGGAAGAGGAGGCACGCCAAGCTCGTCCCTAAATCAGTGCCCTCGCCGCCCTCTGCAAGGTCTGCCTGACGCAGAAACCCCTTCCCGGCCGCGGCACTCGGGCCTGCCACCCCTGAGCCCACAAGCGCGGCGGCCGTGCCGGCACTCACTCCATGGAGACGCGGAACTGCACGGTGTCCTCGGGCTGGGGCAGGCCGGGCCGCACCGCCACCATGAAGAAGTTGGGGCGGAAGATCCGCAGCTGCGGGCCGCCCCTCTGGAAGAG